ATTATGGATGATAACGACTACCAGTTGTCAAAATTTAGCTTTTCACAGTTGTTATTTCTAACAAATATTAGGTTTTAAAATTTTGTCCCTTACTTTTGGACGCTACTATATATATATATATATATATATATATATATATATATATATATATGTATGTATGTATGTATGTATGCTTGTATTGATGAATGTTTCATTAAATAATATAGACAAGTTTTGTCTATTTATTTTTTGTAAATTCTTTTCATATCGTCTGATAAGCTTAATAACATTATCATTAATCAAAGAAAGAAAATCACAATTTTTGAATAAATTATATTTGCTCTACTTTGCATTGAGCACTCTTTTAAGAATAGTATGTTTTGGTTATTAGAATTTATTCCGTATACACCAATCCTATACTTGGTATATATATATATATATATATTTAGTTTATGAAAAACTAGGTAATCCGTATGGGTAAACCTAAGGAGGATAAAATCCAGAGAGCTCAATGTAAATCCAGAGCAAATAATTTAAATAAAAACAGACCACAGAAAGAATTTGTAAAGTCCCTTAATCTGTTGGGGGATATTTTATTTTAACTGTCCCTCGCTAATTTATTTACACGTTATTTCCCCTCCCCTCGTTACAAGTATATACACTTGTTTGTTATTTTAGTGTGTTTCCCCCTTTTTTTTTTCTCTTTATTTTCGTTACTGTTCTTTTCGTTAATTAATGATCCAACGATTGTCTCCTGATGAGATGTTTGTTGAATCGGCCTTTTGAGACAAATAAAATTAAAATCAATAAATTCCTTGTTTTTAAAACTGTATATAAATTTTGTAAATTTATCTAAACATTTGTATATATATATATATATATATATATATATATATATATATATATATATATATATATAAATCGATAAAATCCATTAGAGGGCCAAAACCTTTTATAAAACATAAGTTAATGTTTTACTCTCTCTATATATATATATGTATATATATGTATGCATGTGTGTGTGTGTGTGTGTGTTAATGATAAATATACATTTTTCCTCATCGGTAGCACAACTCTGGGCTTCATGCACAATGCAATCCTCAGGTGCTGATTGAATTGCACTGCGCGTGTACTCGATGTATAATAACAGACCTATAATTTATATTAATAATAAATATATCACAAGGCGACTGTTGAAATTTCTAGAGCACATAATGAAGACAGAGGGTTTGGAAAATTAGATACTCCCAAGACAGGCTGAAAGGATGACAGACAAGGGAAACATACGCAAAAACAACCTACCTAACAAGTTCGAGTATGGCAGATCAAGGTTTAAGAGAGATAACAATAAACCAAAACTCATTAACAGCTACAAAGGACAGGAAATTGTGGAGAGCAATGAACGTCAACGACTTGAAGGGACATAGCACATAGAAGAAGAAGTAGTGTAAAACCGGACTTCTGTTTTGCATTTTGTCTCTAGGGTAAACTGAACCGATGTCTGCATATATATATTAATTCAATATAAATTTTCTTCCATCAGAATTATATTAGATATTAAATAATTTGTCAAGTGTTTATAGGTCGTTCAATCACACGACACTACGTTTCTCAGCAGATAATTTGTGCTTGGTACACTTCAAGTTGAATTATGTCCGAGAATTCTGTAAATTCTTGAATTAATAAAAATCAGGAAGTACAATACCTGAAGATTATACCAAATGCTTACAGATCGCGGCATCTATCAGAGAGATTAAATTTAAATTTTTTATTACATTATTCCAAAATTTTAACGTTAGCAGAAAATAATGTCAACAACTGAGCACAAATAGTTATTAATTAAAAAAAAATAATTAATGTATAATATTATCCGTAACTATATATACAGTGTCGTTCGATAAAAGTGACTCACCTGATTCTTTTTTACTTAAAAATATTTTCGCCTATTGTTTTTGGGGTCAAATTAATTTTTGATCTTACTAATATAAAAACCCCTTCCCAACCACCTAGTAAAAAAGTTTACTCATCCGAAGTTATTCTATTGATAATTATAATTTTGGATATAAATGAGATTTAGGTAAAAACTCTGTGCAAAAAAAGTGACTCACTTATTTCCTGCAACTATTAATCAATAGAAACATAAAAGGAACAGCTTTAAATAACGAATAATAAAAGTATAATTTATTTATAATAGGTAATATAGTTCGAAATATTTAATAATCTATGGGTCTTCCTTTATTTTGAATAACCTTTTCAACCCTTTTTGGCATTGACTTGATTAGGTTCTGGCAAATCTCATCTCCAAGCATTGAATTCCATTCGGATATGAAATTCACAATCAAATCCTCTTTGTTGCTCATCTGCTTTCTCAAGAGTCTGTACTTTATAATGCCCCATAAGTTTTTTTTTATGGGGTTGAGGTCAGGAGATTGGGGCGGCTATGTCATAGTACTCCCCTGCTTCTCATCAAAGTATTCCTTCATCAATTTTGATTTGTGAGAGGGAGCATTATCCTGTATAAATATGAGCTTGGTGGGGTCGATTTGCACCCTTTCAACAGAAGGGAGCAGACAAGACTCTAAAATTTTCTTGTACTGCTCGCTCCTGAGGGTCTTCTCAATAGGTTTTAAGAAACCAGTTCCATGAAAAGAAAAGGTTTTAAGAAACCAGTTCCATGAAAAGAAAAGTATCCCAAGAACATTATATTGAACATCCGTTCAGTATAATGTTCTTGGGATACTTTTCTTTGATGCTTGACAACCCTTACTGCTAAATTCAAAGAGCTTTTAAAGCTTCTTCGGATTTTAGATCGCTTATCCTTTGAATTTAGCTCAATCAAAAGAGAACATTTAGTAAAAAAATCAGGTGAGTCACTTTTATCGAACAGCACTGTATATATTGTTTTTGATAAAAGTTTAAAAAAAAACATATATACGTAAAAAAAATACGTATATTGTCGAAAATTCCTTTTCTAACAATACAGCTATTTGTTCTATGCTATAATTCTCAATAATAGTGAATTTTAAACATTAAAGGATAATTAATCACATCTCTGTAATAGCTGTCGCGATATGTTAACAAAATTCCAAACTTTCAAGTTGCGATTAATATTTTACGGTTTATCAAGGGAAGGGGGAGATTTGAGATACAGGATTTATAGTGAGAGGGGGAGAGAGAGAAATGAACAGAAAAAAGAAAGGTCATAAAGCAGAGAAAAAGAAAAAAAGGAAAGATTTTATTTGAACGAAAGTAGGAGAGACAGAAAAAGCCAAACCGAAAAAAGAAGAAAGAAAGGATGATTGAAAAAAGGGAAAAAAGAAAGAAAGAAAGAAGGAAAATATCAAAGAAGAAAGAAAGAATGCAGAAAACACAAAACAAAGAAAAATTGTAAGATAGCTTGTATTGAAAGAAAGAAAGAAAGAAAGAGAGAGAGAAAGAAAGAGAGAAAGAGAGAAAGAAAGAAAGAAAGAAAGAAAGAGAGAAAGAGAGAAAGAAAGAAAGAGAGAAAGAAAGAAAAAAGAAAGAAAAGATGAAAGAAAAAATGTTGAAAGAAAGAAAAACGAATGAAAGAAAAAGGAATAAAAAAGATTGAAAGATTGACAGAAAAAAAAGAAAAAAGAAAGAAAGAAAGAAAAAACAAAAGAATGGGGAAAACACCAATGAAAGAAAGAAAGAATTGTTGAAAGAAAGAAAGAAAGAAAGAAAGAAAGAAAGAAAGAAAGAAAGAATGGGGAAACACCAATGAAAGATTGACGGAAAGAAAGCTTCACTTAAAAGAAAGAAAGAAAGAAAGGTTGAAAGAAAGAAAGCATGGGGAAGACTAAAGATTGAAAGAAAGAAACCACGAGTTGAAGGAAAGAAAGGATGAAAGGAAGAGAGAAAATAATTTCTTATGAAATACAGACACATAGAGAGAGGGAGAGAAAAGAGAGTAAACATGAAGCTTGTCAAAGAAAGAAAGAAAGAAAGAAGAAAACATTTGGGAATAAGAAAAAAGAAAAAAGGTAGAAAGCTTGAACGAAAGAAAAAAGAAAGAATGGGAAAACATAAAAGAAAGAAAGATTGAAAGAAAGAAAGCTTGAGTTGAAAGAAAGACAGAAAGAAAGAAAGAAAAAGAAAGAAATAGTTGAAAATAACTCAAAAGAAAGAAAATAGAAGGAACAGTGGTTTCTTAAGAAATTCTGACAGACAGACAGACAGATAGATAGATAGATAGATAGATAGATAGATAGATAGATAGCGTGAGTGTTAGAGGGAAGTAAAGACAGGAAATTTCCAGTTTATCAAAGAAAGAAAGAAAGAAAGAAAGAAAGAAAGAGGAAGAAAGAAAGAAAGAAAGAAAGGAAGAAAGAAAGAAAGAAAGAAAGAAAGAAAGAAAGAAAGAAAGAAAAAGGACGAAATTGAAAACAAAAAGAGAAATCGAAAAAGTGGTTTTAAAAAGAAAGAGCAAAAATAGAAAAAGATTTTTTTTAAAAACCAAACGCACGCACGCGCGCGTGCACACACACACATACACACATACATACATATATATATATATATATAAGAGAGAGAGAGAGTGAGAGAGAGATAGTGAGAGAGAGGGAGAGAGAGAGAGGGAGAGAGAGAGAGGGAGAGAGAAATAGAGAGAGAAATTTCGATAAAAGACTTTAGAATGCCTCGAGGAAGAAAGTGGAAGCAGCGAGAAACATAAAATGAAAGAAAAAATGTGTATGTATTTATGCACGTTTGTCTGTATGTATATATGTATATGTATATCAGTATGAATGTTTTGGAGAAAGAAAGAAAGAAAATGAACGCGGGTGGTCTCTCTATTTAAGTGCTTAGAAGACTGAGTGGATAACATTGGATTCTGTAGATATTGGCAGTGGGTCACCATTTTGGATGGAGAGAAGGCAGTAAGCAAAAAGGGATTACCAGTACCTAACAGGTGCTACCAGGATTGGGGGGGGGTGATGTGAAGGTGGTGTGGGGGGGGGAATCAGATTGGTTGCCTAAATTTGACATGGCTTGATAACTTCCTAATAGTACATTAAAAGACAAAGAAAAGAAAAATGGAAACGAAAGAAAGAAAGAATAGAGGGTGGTATATAGGGAAAAGAAAGAAAGGAAGAAAGAAAGAAAGAGAGAAAGAAAAAGAGAAAGAGAGAAAAAAAGAAAGAAAGAAGAACAGAAGGTAGTATAAAGGGAAAAGAAAGAAAGAAGGAAAGAAAGATAGAGAGAGAAAAAAAGAGAAAGAAGGAAAGAAAAAGAAAGAAAGAAAGAAAGAAGAACAGAAGGTAGTATGAAGGGAAAAGAAAGAAAGGAGGAAGGAAAGAAAGATAGAGAGACAGAAAAAGAGAAAGGGGAAAGAAAAAGAAAGAAAGAAAGAACAGAGGGTGGTATATAGGGAAAAGTAAGAAAGGAGGAAAGAAAGAAAGATAGAGAGAAAGAATAAAGAGAAAGAGGGAAAGAAAAAAGAAAGAAAGAAGAACAGAAGGTAGTATACAGGGAAAAGAAAGAAAGACAGAGAGAGTGAAAGAAAAAGAGAAAGAAAGAAGTACAGTAGCTAGTATATAGGTAAAAGAAAGATAGAGAGAGAGAGAAAAAAAGAGAAAGGGGGGGAGAAAAAGAAAGAAAAAAGTACCGAAGCTAGTATATAGGTAAAAGAAAGAAGGAAAGAAAAACAGAGAGAAAGAAAAAGAGAAAGAAAGAAGAACAGAAATTAGTCTAAAGGTAGTAGAAAGAAAGAAAGAAAGAAAGAAAGAGGAAAAATAAAGAAAGATCGGAAGGTAGTACAAAGGTAAAAAAAGAGAGAAGAAAAGATAAAGGAAAAGAAAGAAGGGCAGATGGTAGTATAAATGTAAAAGAAAGTAAGAAAGAAAGAGAGAGAGAAAGAATGAAAGAACAATATAGGTAAAAGAATGAAAGTGAGAAAGAAAGAATAAAAGAAAGATAGATGAACAGAAGTTAGAATAAAAGTGAAAGAAAGAAAGTAGTAAAGAAGTAAGTGTAAAAATAGAGAATGTGGCCAATATTTTGAAGGAGAATTCATATTTATAAACTAAGGATTGGCAAAATATGACAGAAAGAAAGTACAGAATCTTGTATAAAAGAAAGAAAGAAGAAATGACAGTAGCATAAACGTAAAAGAACGAAAGAAAATAAGAAAGAAAGAAGAATGAAAGAAAGAAAGAAAGAAAGACAGGAAGGAAGAAGAACGGAAGGTAGTATAAAGGTAGAAGAAAGAAAGAAAAAAAAGAAAGCCTAATATTTTGACGGTTGATGAGACAAATACATAGGTATTTATGAAAGAAAGAAAGAAAGAAAGATTGGCCCAGAAAGTCTGACAGAAAGAAATGTTGAAAGTAAGAGAGAAAGAAAGAAAGACAGAACATACGGTAATACAAAGGAAAGAAAGGGAGAAAAAAGAAAGAAAGACAGAAAGAAAAAGCATGAGGAAGTATAAAGGTAAAAGAAAGAAACAGTGAAAGAAAGAAAGAAGAAAGTTGAAAGACTGGCACAGAAAGTCAGTTTAACAAAATGCTTGAGAGAAAGAAAGAAAGAAAGAAAGAAAGAAAGAAAGAAAGAAAGATAGAAAGAAAGAAAAAGGGAGAAGTAAGGAAAGACAGATGAAAGAAAGTAAATTCAGAATGAAAGGAAAACAGACAAGAAAGGACAAGTATATAAAAAAAGGAAAAACATATATATAAGATATTTTTCTTTCGAAGTTTTCTCTTTCAAAGCAATGCTCTTTGCCCGTTTTGAAAGAGAGAAAAAAGAAAATATGTTTGAAAGAAGAAAGACAAGAAAAGTTGGAAAAATGAACGAATAAGGGGACAACGATAAAACAACAAACGTATGCAAGTCGTTAACCGCGAATACACAACTTTGAAACATTTCCTTTGTTAATTACACAGAACACACACCTATATATATACAGGGTGTCTCCCCAAAAATTACACCATTTGTGGGAAGCCCCAGTAAGAAGAGCATCTGTGGAAACTAAGATCCCTCGTACGACAATTTGACACTGGAGAATGCTACGCAAGACATGCTACAGAGCGTTTGGCAGGAGCTGGACTACCGAATTGACATGTAACAATTCACAGGTGGTCAGCATATTGAATATTAGTGAATCTTTTTGAAATCGTTTATAAAATCTACATGTTCAAATTTTGATAAGTATATTATTGTTCAACATGAAGCTTATAAATTTCGTTTCCAAGAGACATGTCGTTGCTCAGATATTCACAGTTTAGATTCTATCAACTTTTGGGGGAAAACATGTGCATAATATATATATATATATATATATATATAATGAAATGGACAAAGTCCGACAATTATTTTAAGGCATTTTTTATGTATATACGTTCTTTTTATAGATACAAATATTTAAGTAAATACTTTGTTCATAATAAACAGTATTAATAACATTTACCGGCCTGAATGTCCGAGAAATTTTCATAGAAAATATATTCTCTGAAAGTAATCGAACTTGTATCCTATACGGAATCGTCATATAGCCTGATGTGCCTTAACCGATCGAGCCACGGAGGATCGTTCGATTAGCGAGGTCGATTTTGCTGCTTTTAAACTTCAATCTTCCATGGATCTCTCACGTACATTCATATCTGCTCAAAGCAGATGTAAACAAATGACGTCACACATTATGAAATGGACAAAGTCCGACAATTATTTTAAAACATTTTTTTTATGTTTATACGTTCTTTTTTGTAGGTAGAAATATTTAAGTAAATTTCCCGTTTATAATAAACAGTATTATCAACATTTACCGGCCTGAATGTCCAAGAAATTTTCATAGAAAATATACGTCTTCCGAAAGGGATCGAACCTGTATCCTATACGGAACCGTCATATAGCCTGATGTGCTTTTACTGAATCAGCCACAGAGGTGCGTTTCGGTTAGCAAGGTCGATTTTGCTGTTTTTAGACCATAATTCTCCATGATTTTCTCTCATAGATTCATATCTGCTCGATGCGTATCCAAATGTAAACAAATGACGTTACACAAAGTCCGACAATTATTTTATAATCTATAAAAAGAACGTATAAACATAAAAACTGTCTTAAAATATATATATAGATATTTATATATAATAAAATAATAAGAAATAACAGTAAGATTTACAATCCGGTGTTCTTCGTAATTATTTTAATAAAAAAAAAAAAAAAAAATTTCTCGATAGATGAACCGTAGAGCATAATATTATAATTATTTACTATTTTAAAAATATGTTCCCATCGCTACTCAGGAATTACCATGTTTCAAAACAGAAACTAGAATTTTAAATCTATTTTTTAAATATTTTTTGAATAATTTTGTTCATACCACATTGACTGATAAACTCCTACAACAAAAAAATTCTCAAATTGCCATATTAGTAAAAAAAAACGCACTCTCTTAAATTTTCAAAAGAATTCAAACCTTAGCGTTGCGACTGCACGCTCCAAAATTTAGTGTCCGTTAACAATAACACATTTAAAAAAAAAATATATTTCGATTCGCATTTAATTTTTTCGTCTTGGATGCTACCTGGATTTTACTAAAAACAAAATTTCTGAAGATGACTGAATGTACAGTTGAAAGTACTTGCGTATTAAAGAAAGACATTATACAGCTTATAATTTTTAAAAACAAGGATCATAATATTCATCGAGTGATTTGTAGGTTAATGCAACTTTAAAATTTTATTTGCGAAATGATTTCGCCATTTTATATCTTAAATTTACTAATCTACTTTTTGTATGAATGTTTTATTGTAATATAAATTGAACTGCACCACATTATATATATATATATATATATATATATATATATATATGAAGAAAAAACAAACAAAAATCTTAATATGCAATTATGCTATATTAATGTCAATATAAAGTCGACGTCGGACGTTTCGGTCTATTTAAGACCATCTTCATGGACATTTTCATTTAAACATAATTAACATTAGAACATAAAAATTTAACACAAAAGACGATGGACATAAGAGCACAACTAATCCAAACAGGTAACTGAAATTTTTATATAAGATCAGCGTTCCGTTTAAATATGATCACGTCGTCGTCACGTGGGCGATGTTGTGAAAACGTATTCGAAGATGATTTCCAAATATTAAAAAAAGTCGATTGAACTATTTTATATAAAGAGTTCAAGAAATCCCTTCCGTTGATATAGGAATACGTAGAGATCAATAGGTTCTTATATCTTCATACAAGCTTGAAGTCCTTCACGTTACAAAGCAAATCAAAAATGATTTCAAAAACGATGGAACAGTTCTAAAAAACAGTTCGATAATAAATCCTTTCCTTACTTGATCAATAGATTCTTATATTCTCGTCCAAGCTTGAAGTCTTCCATGTTATAAAGTAAATTCAGGTTTGTATTTCCAGTAGACAGTATAAGCAAATATATGGATATAGATCCGACAGTATGAAGAAAAATACAGAAAAAAAAACAAAAATCTTAATATGCAATTATGCTGTATTAATGTTAATATAAAGTCGACGTCTTAAGATTTTGTTTGTTTTTTCTGTATTTTTCTTCATACTGTCTGATCTATATCCATATATTTGCTTATATATATATATATATATATATATATATATATATATATATATATATATATATATATATATATATATATATAGGCAGTAACCTTTCTTTTTAAAACATATTTTGTGATTATGACAGACAAAGAAATTCTTAAATTTTTCCATTTGGTGGTTGTAAGATTATGGTGGTAAAATTGTGCATAGTGTCTATTGTGCCAAGTGCTTTCGGCTACTTTAGCCATTTTCAAAGGATTTTTCTTTTTTGTTAATTTTTTTTTTTTCTAATTTCTTTTCAAGGTTGTCTTTTAAAATGTATTGTGTACTGCATATTACATGATAGTAGCATTTATACAGCGAGCCCCAGCGAAAGGAATTCAATTTGACGTCCTTCTGTTTAAAAAAAAAGAACTTAGCACATTGTTTCTGTTGTTAAATATATTGATATGAAAGAAAAGGATTATATATATATATATATATATATATATATATATATATATATATATATATATAATAAATCCTAAAGAGCCAGGAAAGCCTACCTAGGTTTCACCTAAACAGATCTTCAGGGTAAGCTATTTTTTATTTCCAATTTTTTCCTCGGCTACCGATTTGATTTAACATATATACAAGTTTAGTTAGCTGAGGTTTTTTTACCAAGCAAGTATTACTATTAGTATATATATATATATATATATATAAAGAGAGAGACAGATATATAGATGTAGATAGATAATATTAGTGGTCAATATGTATATAAGAATTTACTAGTCTCCGCTTATTACTACAACGAACTGCTTTCCATCGGAATCAAATTTTATAAAAATTTTAAGAATACGTTTTTAAAGCGTCGCCCATTTGACGACAACGTGACCACGCTCAAACGGAAAGCTAATCATTCAAAATTTTATATCATCTGTTTTTGGATAAGACTTGTTTTTTTTTTTATGTCCATCGTTTTCGTCGATTTATATTGATTATGTTAATTGTATTGTATTTTTAATGAATATTGTCCTGAAGAAGGTTTTTAAACCGAAACGTCGAACGTCGACATTTCATTCATAATTAAAACAACATAATCACATTCTAAGGATTTTTGTTTGTTTTTTCCAGATATTTTCTTCATTCTGTCAGATTTATATCCATTTATATCCATTTATATTATATATATATATATATATATATATATATATATATATATATATATATATATATATATATATATATATATATATATATATATATATATATATATATATATATATATATATATATATATATATATATATATATATATATATATATATATATATATATAATAAAAAACCTGTAATATTAATCGACGCATGTGGACTTTTTTTCAAGGCGAAAATGAAATTTCTCACATCAGAAGAAATGATCGTTCGCATTAGGGTTTTAGGTTCGATTCCTGTCGGAGAAGCACATAGTTTCTACATCTCTTGAAGATTGACGACGCTAAATGAAATTAATTCTGTTTATTGAAAAATAAACATAAAAAATTAAAAAAAAAACGAGCTGTTTACTTAAATAAATTGTATCTATTAAAAATAACGTATAAACAGAAAATATATCAAACAATTAGATATAATCCATTTCATTATATATATATATATATATATATATATATATATAAGACAGCGAGAGGAGAGGGAGAGAGAGAGAGCTAGATAGATAGATGGGTGGAGGGCATACTGAACACTAAAGGTTAAGTGTCAAATTCTTCAAGTCTGAAATGAAACGGACATTTGTCAGCAGGAAAATACGAAAAGGCGACAAAAATGTTAAAGGACCAAAGAGCATTTAGCAAAAGAAAAAAGAAAAAAATAAAGATGGCGATGACAGTCGGGTCGTGGAAAGACTGTTGGTCGACCTTCAAAATAACAGTAAAAAGAGACGGCCAAAAAATACGATAGTTTGTCGACTATTAGCCTAATTGAGATGATTAATCGTACGGATATTTAAGGATTATACCTCGACTATCAGAGTGCTGATATTAAAGGAAACGAGGAGGGGTGGAGAGAACAACTTATATACCTACTTACTTACTTACTGCTCGTCAGATTTTAAGCATTTCTTACGTTGGCACAAAAAAAAAAAGATAATCTATAAATTTGGAACTACTGATTATTTTTTGTCTATATTTCTGAGAGGAGGTATTATGTACAGTATTTACATTAGTCGGACTATTGTCCTCATCTTTGTCGGAAAGGAATATAAAGGAGAAACAGGCCGCCCCCTCAAGGTAAGGCTTCAAGAACACCAGAAAGCTGTAACGAGAGGGGAAGTAGAAAAATCAGGCGTGGCTGACCACGTATGGAGAGAGAAGGGAGATCACCGCCCCCTGTGGGATCATGTTGAAATCATAGACAGCGAACACCATTGGAAAATACGTAAAC